GGGATCAGAGGTTACAGGGAGAAAGCAGGAGAATGGGGTTGAAAATCTCATCAGCCATGATTGAATGGTGGAGCACTCGATGGGCTGAATGGCCTAATTTCTGCTCCTATGTCTTATGGTCTTATCTCTGAGGTAGGAGACCCAGGTTCAAGTCCAACCCGCATCACAGATGTGCAATAACATCTTTGAACAGGTTGATTAGAAAATATCCAGAGCTGGATTCTTCTTCATTGGAGAAGTGGGCTTCTGGACAAAGAAGGGAAGAATAGAAACTGATGTTTGTGCTAAACGATAAAACCCTGGTAAATCTCCGAAACTGTTTCACTGCCTAATTCAACACATTGAGATTGGTCTGTTTAAACATCATGAGCCTTCACTGTTCCCATCTATGGACTACCTCACCCACCTTATAACGGCGTTGCTCCCAAACCCTTAGGGGTTCCGTTCCCCAATATCCCAGGGTCATATGAGAGCATGCATTCTACCAGCTCTGGTATATCAGCCTCCTTCCACTGAGTACTCCAGGTTCAGGCACTTTAATCACTGACTCCTGCAACCAGCCAGCCAGACAGCAACAAACATCAGAAACTCATAACTGGACACTGTGCCCATCTTATTCCACCCCCCAGCTACTGTGTCATAACTCAGGGAATATTCACTCCAACACACCCCAAATACTAACAGATCATGATATTCCAGCACATCTAGACTTCAAAGCCCCAGGATTTCCCTCTACAATAGAACTCTTCTCTGGAAAAAGTGCACTCAAATTTTACACAAATTAAACATTTAATGTAACAACCTCTTTGCTCTTTAACTCTTGATCCTCACTGCTATAACTTGCATATAACTCTACTTGTTTCTGCTTATTTTGTTTTGCATCTTACACTTCAGAATAGTGAAGAAACAATTATTAAATACACAAATGTATATGTTAAATTTCATAGCTACAGAATGTGAACACCATAGGACTAGGGAAAATACTGGAATTCCATAAACTTACACCACAAATAAACATATGCAATCATACTAGTTTTATTCATAAAACTGCACTGGAACATTACAAGACATAATACTACTACCGATTTTACTTATCTTCTTCAATTCTCTGCCCAAAGGCAGGTCTGACCCGCAGTGGGTAGGTCAATATCATGGATAGAGCAAGAAAGCAGATCCTGACTCCACCCCAGCAGGAAGCGGGAAGTGAACCTCATAATCACTGGCACCAACCTGACTCACACCAGCCATCCAGTTACCTCAACAAATAAGTCGACCAACTCTCACAAGGCGTTTCAGTTACCGTGGACAACATGCTTTACATGCACCTTACAGTCTGGAGCTATGCACAGCGTTGGAATAGGTCCCAGAGTTCTTCTTATCACATCACCTGGCCAAGCAGAAATTTCTCCTGCCCTTCCTGTCTGCCACTGGTGTGTGTTGGAAGGATTTACAAACTGATACTCAAATCTTTTGACCATATTATAAATACAGCTTCCTTGGCCATCAAGTGCTGGGATGGGACTTGAACCTGCAGCTCCTGCTGTGTTGTAGAATCTCCACGTATAACAATTCTGTTTCCTCTGTCATAACGGTGTGCATCTCCAACAAGAGGGAATCTAACCATTGCCCTTTGACGCTCAATGGTGTAACTATTGCTGGACCTTCCTCTATCAGCTCAATAACACTCAAGAAGCTTGGCATTATCAAGGCCAAAGCAGCCCACTTGATTGGCATTACTTCCACAAACATCCACTCCCTCCACGATCGATGCTCTGTAGCAGCAATGTTTACAAGATGCACTGCAGAAAATCACCTAGGCCCCTTAGGCACCTCCTTCCAAATTTACAGCTAATTTCATCTAGAAGGGCAAGGGTAGCAGATACATGGGAACATTACTGCTCACAACCTCCCATCCAAGCCACTCACCATCCTGATTTGCAAATATATTGCTGTTCCCTCACTGTTGCTGGGCCAAAATCCTAGATTTCCCTCCCTAAAGGCATTCTGGGTCTAACTAGAGCAAATGGCCTGCAGTTGTTAAAGAAGGCAGCTCACCACCACCTTGTCCAGGGCAACTAGGGTCAGGCAATAAGTGGTGGCCCAGCCAGCAACACCCACTTTCCGTGAATGAATAAAAAAGAATCTGGGAATGCATAGTGCAAAGAAAAAGCAATAACGTTGGGAGTGTGAGTTGTGAGGGGAAAGGTGAAAGGGTTTGCACACACCATAATAAGAAACTTTAAAGAGATTAGAGGACTCCATATTGTTTGCGTTGATTTGGGAAATGTACAAGCAATCTACCATATAACATGCAACATGCTGCTCCTCATTGTTAAAAGGCGTAGCTGTGTATTACTTGATGTTTCAGTTGAAAGTCACGGGGCATAAATGCTGTGCCTACCCACGCAGATCCTATGGTCAATTCGCAGTCTGCTGAAATCAGCAAGAATTGATTGGTTTTGTCATTTTTTAAAAGAATGCTGGAGAGAAATGTATGACGGATATCTCAAAACATTACGACAAGATTTATAAACGACTATAGAAAAATGCACTGAGGTTGAACAGGAAAAAAAATAGCAGGGCAAACTTGAAGAAAGAAGTACGTGAAATGCGGTGGAGTAATTCAAGGTCCTCAGCACAATGCTGTGCAGCTGAAATGCTTTAATAGAGGCTACCAGGATATAAAACTGAATACATGTGACATGTCTCCTGCACCATATCTATCTTGCCCTTAAGTGTATTGACAAGTACACAATGCAGTAAAGCTTAGAAGGCTGTGCTGATAGGGGTAGATGAAGTAAGGTGCGTGGAGGCTTATGTGAAGCATAAGCATCAGCGTGCCGTCATTATTCAGCTTTCTAAGCTGTAAATTCTGAGTGAAAAAAGCTCCTAGCACGTACTGATATTATTCATTTCATTCACTAATTGAAAGGTAAAACTAAATGCACCATGAATACCTCTGTTAATAGCAGCTACCTAATGACAGAGGGATTATTTTGAATCCTCGTGCAAATTGAATACAGAAGAGCTCAACAGATGACCCTTAATGACTGGTGTTGGCCTCTTAGTTGCAACCTTTTGCGGACAGAGTCAGTTCTTTTTGAAACAACCACCCTCTGCACATTTGCCACGATGGAGTCAGGATTTCAAGGAGGAATCTTCGATGGGTTTTTCTTTAAATTGTTAACTGCCCTCTTTCAAATTAACCAATTACTTTATTTTCCTGTATCTTCCATTTCTTCTCCAATAATCACACAAATCTTTTGTCTGCGGCACAAAAGCTCATCAAAAATGGCTGCATTGTGCGGACTATTGTTTATTCATTAAAAACAGGCAAACAAGTACCTCCAGGGACTACAAAGTAAAGCATCCTGGCACTGACAAGTAAGGCTGCAATTGTCTCTTTTGTGGGTGGTGTGGGGGCAAGTGTGTTAGGTATGAACTAACAGACCAATCCCTTTCCCGAGAAAGCTTGTTAGATCACACGTTGAGCTGATTAAGAGCTGACCAGTGAGCTTCGGCATGGGAATGTGCCCTATTACATGTTACTTTTCCTTTCCAAGGCCAGGATGCTGTGAACATACAGTGCTTCTTAAATCTCTAACAAAGGATGCCTTTCCAATACAAGAAGATCGAACACAACAAGAAACAACAGTCCAAATAGTCTGATGTGCGTCTGAAAGGTAATAACATATCCCTGAATTATATTTCTGTTGGTATGCCAATATTAGAATCAGTGATTCTGAATGCAGAATTGCAGTCTCCTTTTAATTTGTTCATCGGACACATGTATATATTATTTATATTATACAGTAACTGGGGATTCATCTGTACTTCTATAGATATGGACAGATGGTGGATTAGAAGGTTATCTCTCTGAAAAATATTGTCTATTAAGAAGTGTGTAAAGTTTGGCTTGCTGGGTGGGGAAAAGAGGAGAGGTGGGATGGGGAGAGGCTGACAGGGGAAGTTGGGATGGGAGAGGTGGGAAGGCAGGACATGGGCAGAGGAGGGAGGGTGGGACAGATGGACGGGGAGGGGATGGACGAGGAGAAGACACTGGGGTTGGGGGGAGTGGAATATGAATTCAGGAGAGAACAGATAACAGCAGTTTTGTGGAGGAGAGGGAGTTCAGCTAAGACTGACATTTGATGGTTCCTGCTGTATCCTCATGCGAGCTATGATCCAACCAATCAATGCTCCCTTCTCACACAGTATAAATTGGTGCTCCCTTTGTAAATTTGGTTTCTTGCATTCCAGACTTGAATTGTGTGAGACAAAAAGCTTTGAGCTTATGTCTGGATGAGTTGGGCCGAACAGCCTGTTTCCATACTGTATAACTCCATGATTATATAATAATGTTTAAATTCTATACTTCAAAGCAATTATTAACAGAAAACTTTGCCATTCTAATTGCACAAGATATAAGAGCTCAAACAGTACAAAGATATGTCTTATTCAAAGTACAAGTTGCCCAAGAGTTCCAGCAATTTGATTTCTAAATTGGTTAAACAAGCATTTTAGTCTTTCCTTCCTACGAGATGTCTATATCATATCAATCAGTTAAAACTGTAGCAAGGAAAATTGTGCAGTGGTCCATTTTCTACAATTTTAAAACTGTTACGCTTTCAGCATTCCCACTAAAAACACAGTTTGATTGATGTGGCAAAAATCAGTAGCAGGATTAGAACTTCTCTTAGACAATACAAGATGGTATAAGATAGGATGTGCCAAACTGGGGAGTGACATGGGTCATACACAACAATTGAAACTGCTTCTTTCAGGCGTCTGCTCCAGATCATATCAACTTGAGCTAATTCAAATTAAATCTCTTTCAGAAATCATCCTTAAGCACTTCCTGCTGCGTATTTAACAAGCCAACATAAAACTGGGCTGTGCAATAATTGGAAGAAGTGAACACAGGGAATCAAGATTCTTGAAGCAGTTCTTTCGGTATCAAACTGTGGGTCATCGTGTTAGTGTTGAAAAGATGCACTTACCTGCACCTGTTCCACCTGAAGGATTGCGAGGTTTGGCAGGAGCTGTTGAGAAAATAAACATTCTGTTACTGATGGGCACTGCATTAAAGGGCAGTGTTGTGAAGGTGTTCAGAGATCATACTAAGGCATTGCGTTCATGATCATTTCCATTCAGCTAATGCAGAGTGAAGGACTGAGATCATTTTAGATAAATCTGGCACTTTTCAGTGCTAATCCATGGCATTGTGCTGATTTACCAATTGAGGTGCTATCTACGCCAGGACAAAATTTAACTTCAGCTTTACACCCCAAAGAGCCAGTTTCCTCTCTCAACCAGGTAATAAAACGAGGGATAGGCTAGAAAACAAAAATCTAAATCATGTCACCTTAGCTTGCTCCTGCCCATTCCTACCTTCAGTTACTGAGTGGCAACATTAAAGAACGAAAGATGCAGCAGAAAACTGGAGAGGAAATTAAAATCCAGTATTTTAAAATTTACAGAAGGCAACTGGATCTTGATTTTAAAAAAAGAGAAGTTTCACCTTCGGAAATTAACAACTCCATCTTAAAAATTATTTGAATTTGCACTAACATGGGTTGTTTTACAACCTCCAGAAATTTTAAAGTACATCACAGCCAATGAACTACTTTTTGAAATTAATCACAATTATAGGGTAGGAAATAGAATCATAGAATCCCTAATGTGGAAACAGGCCCTTCAGCCCAACGAGTCCACACCAACCCTTGGAGCATCCCACCCAGACCCATCCCCCCTAATCTACACATCCCTGAACACTACGGGCAATTTAGCATGGCCAATCCACCTAGCCTGCACATCTTTGCACTGTGGGAGGAAACCCGCGCAGACACTGGGAGAATGTGCAAACTCCAACAGACAGTCAGCCAAAGGTAGAATTGAACCTGGGTCCCTGGTGCTGTGTGGTAGCAGTGCTAGCCACTGTGCCACACCAATTTGCACACAACCAGCTCCCATAAAGAACAGAGTGCTCCAGAACTTGCTGCTCCCCTAGCCAAGCTCTTCCAGTATGGCTACAGCACTGGCATCTACCCTATAATGTGGGCAATTGCTCAGGTATCCAATCCGGCCAATTACCGTCCCATCAGTCTACTCTCAATCATCAGTAAAGTGATGGAAGGTGTCACCAACAGTGCTATCAAGCAGCAACTGCTCAGCAATAACCTGCTCAGTGACACCCAGTTTTGGGCTCTGCCAGGGCCACTCAGCTCCAGATCCCATTACACCTTGGTTCAAATATGGACAAAAGAGCTGAATTCCAGAGGTGACGTGAGAGTGACAGCCCCTGACATCAAGGCTGCATTCGACCGAGTGTAGCATCAAGGAGCCCTAGCAAAACTGGAATCAGTGGGTATCAGGGGAGTTATAGCTGGCACAAAGGAAGTTGGTTGTGATTGTTGGAGGTCAGTCATTCCAGCTCCAGGATATCCCTGCAGGATTGATTGATTTACTGTCATGCGTATTTTGTTACAAAATAAGGTGAAAAGTGTTGTCCAGTGTCGCAACTCTCCAGTGCCATAAAAATAAAAGAAACAAAAGCAGAAGAATAAAAACATAAAAGAAATAGTGTTCAACTTTACAGTGCTTCTTGTTATGGGTCATGGGTCTGGTGGTTAGCCACATCTCCCCGCCACCAACATCCTCACCACTCTGAGTCCTTGCTGAACCTCGCCAATGCAGACAGCACCAATGCCGCTGGACACTGCACCAGCCTAAACTCAACTCCACCGCTGCGTTGGCAAGAGAAGGCAGCCCTGGGTCGAGTTCGGCGCGGTCCACGAGACGAGGTACTGGCGCAGTCTACTTGAAGGACTGTAAAGCTGATCATTTTATTTCTCTATTTTTCCAATTTATTCCCGAAGATCCTGTACCTTGGTACGTTTGTACCTAAGATGGCACCATTAAGTGGCAACTTTGTAAACTTTTCACTGCACTCGTGTGAGTACGTGTGACAATAACTCTAATTCTAACTGACGTTCAATGGCATTACCATCACTGAATTGCCCACTATCAACATCCTGGGTGCTACCATCAACCAAGAATTCAATTGGACTCGCCACATAAACACACTGGTTACAACAGCAGGTCAGAGACTAGGAATATTGCAACTGATAACTCACCTCTTGACTCCCCAAAGCCTGTCCACTATCCTAAAGACACAAGTCAGGAGTGTGAGGGAATATTCCCCACTTGCCTAGATGGATGCAGCTCCAATATCATTCAAGAAACTTGACACCCTCCAGGACAAAGCAGCACACTCAAATGGCACCACATCCAGAAGCATCCACTCCTTCCACCACTGGCACCTCCAAGAGTACAGTACCAAACAACTATCAGCCTTGGCTTTTGAGTTCAGGGGTTGGGGTGGAATTTGCATTGACAACTTTCTGATATAATTGCAAGATTAGATACCAACTAAGCCCTGGATAACTCCTGGATGAAGTCAGCGTGTGTTCTATTTTAGAATAGGAAGCTGCCAAAGTACTTGAATCTGAAGTTTTAGGTTAACTCAACCAACAGTTGTTTGGTGGCTCAGCGGTTAGCATTGCTGCCTCACAGCAGCAGGGACCTGGGTTTGATTCCACCCTCTGGTGACTGTCTGTGTAGAGTTTGCATATTCTCCCCGTGTCTGTGTGGGTTTCCTCCCACAGTCCAAAGATGTGTAGGTTAGGTAGATTGGCCATGCTAAATTGCCCATAGTGTTCAGGGATGTGTAGCTTAGGTGGGTTATAGGGGATGGGTCTGGTTGGGATGATCTAAGGGACGGTGTGGACTTGTTGGGCCAAAGGGCCTGTTTCCATACTGTAGGGATTCTGTGATATAACTTGAATATTGCTGAAAAAATACACTTTTTGTACTACACGGCTAATTCACAAAGATAAAAATTCAAAGAGAAAATCAACATTTATGTTGTATGACCAGGAGAATGCTTATTGGTTGGCAAGTGATCTGTTTGATAGAGGCAGTGCCATGGAGAAGTTACTCACTAATGCTGATTGACAGTTAACTACTAAGCTTTGTTTAAATTTTAAACCTAGCTGGTGTAAAATTTAAGCAAAGCTTGACTTATAACTGTTAATCAGCATTAACAGGTGCATTCTCCACGGCAATGCCTCTACAATCAGAATGCATTTGACAACCTATTAGCACTCGCCTTTCACCCAGAATATTTGTTAATTTGCTTCTTGAATTGGTATTCTTACAAACTATCCTGATGAACAAAGAAAAAGGCTTTAATGAAATGTATCTTTTTTCAGCAATATTTAATTCCACCTATTGTTTGAGCACAGAATCTGGACGTTCGGATGTTGTTGACATTCGGAATCTTCATTAGTTATTTTTAAAACTTTTGAAAAACTTTTAGAACAAAATAAAAAGAATGTGCAACAAAACTAAAACAGTCTATTGCTGATCAGAAAGAACCAGTGTTGAAGTCCATTGTGATTTACTATAAAACTACCCTTGCACTGTTCGTCAGAAACCCATGATGCATTGCAACAGCGATCACTGGAGATATAATTGTTGTATTTCATGTGTTTTGGAAATGTGGTCATGTTAAGCATGCAGAAATACAAAATTAAAATCTCAAAACATGTGTGCCGACTATTAGACTAGTTTCAAAAATGTGAATAAAAATAAATTATTGGAAAAGTCTGGTCCTATACAAGACCTCAATTGGCAGTTCAGATATTTCACACAGTCTCTTAGAAATACATCACACCAGCTGTAGCAGCATGATAACTGGAGTTTGGAGATAAATTTCCATTGTATTGCATTTTGAATTATTAAGTTATTTTAAAACTATTTTAATTATTTAGGATTAACTAAAATCACACAGTTCCTGTTTCATGGAATTCTGCTATCCACAGCTTAAAGCCAGCTATTGCTGTCCATTTTCATTCCTTTCAACGTTATCTGTTGTTACCTTATGTCCATGACCCACAGAGACAAAACAGGTAAGGATGGTGGAAGCCAGACAGAATAACATGTTTCAAAAACTTGTACTCCCTATTCCACTTTCTCCTCATTTATTTCAACCGATAATTTACCAACAAATATTTATTGTCAGTTATCATCTTTTTAAAGTAAAGGATGGAAGTAATTACATAAAACATACAATGCGTGTACAGGATCTTTGATCCAACAAATATGTTGGAGTGTTTGTACTCAAATACAAGCTGCTTACTAATAAATTCAATAGGAAAATGAGATATTTACTTAAGAGTGGGTGAAATGTGGAATGTGGATCTGTTCCTATTCTATTTACTTTATGCCAGGCTCTCAGCACATCTTTCTACTCCTGTTTCTCTCATGCACTCATTTAACATCCTTAAGAAAGTATCTAAACATTTTGTATCCTGGAGGTAGCGAGTTCCACATTCTAACCACTCCAAGCAAAATTCTCATGCTCCTATTGGATTATTAGGTGGCAATGTGTGTTTGTGTCTCCTTGTTTTGGATTCACCCAGAAGTGGAAAAAATTCTCTCCAAATCTACCCCATCCAAATCCATTCATAATTTGAAAGACCTCTAGTAGGTCACCTCTACAAAAAACAATCCAAAGCTGCTCACTCTTCCTCAATAACTACAATCTCAGTTCTGAGAATCGCTCAGCAAATCATATAACATGCCTTTCTGTCAACTCTTTCCCCCTCTTCCCCAAATGCGCAGAATGACAGCACAGAGAGGTGGGTTCTGGACAGAATTTCGAACGATCCTACAACTGGAATGGTAAGTACGCTTACTGATAGCTCTCACTTTGTGAGAACTGAATGCTCCTTTAATGACTGCAGGTGGTGTTGGCACCCTGGTTAGATGTTTAACAGGATATAATGATAAATATTTCTCAGTTGGCTGAACTGGGGCAAGTGGAAATGTGATTCTAATTAGAGGCTTAACAAGGAGCAGAGGACAATAAAAATAATTGTGGAGGCTGGAGTCTGAAGAGTCACTTCAACAGTTTACAGATAGTTTTGGTCTCTACACAGGGATAGCCTCTTAACTGAGGTTCCTTTCAAAGAAAAAC